CGTTACGTGTATTTTTTAAAGATGCATTTATGTCTTGTTTGTAAAGAACTTCAGTTTGTCTAAAATATGGAAGAAGGGAAAAACTTGATTTCAAGAAGGGGTGGCATTGACTTACCTTCCCTACCAGTTCTCAAATATGAATGTGCGCATGTGCACAGCCACGTCTGCACATAGCTTCCCATGCATGTGTTTTTGGTGAAAAAGGGGCCTGAATGGGATGCCATAGACCTGGGGCAAGTGGGCAGGGCCACCCCCAGTTCTCCGATTCAGGAGAACTGGTCTGAACCAGTAGAATACCACCTCTGATTCCAAGGAATGGTATGCACTCATTCTCCAAAGCGATCTACAAGAACTACCACCCCCCCAAAAAATCCAGGCTCTAAATTTATTGCTTTTATTTTGTACATTGACGCAAAAACAAACCCTGTCCCCAAATGCACAAGTGGTATGAGAGAGAAAGTAATTAAGAGTATAAAGGTTGCTTTGCTGGATGAAAGCCAAAAAAAAGTTGTTTGTTTCAAAGCAAGTCTGGGGCTACTTCTACAAAGTTCACACACAAAGCATAAAACAATAAGTCTCTCTTGCTCTTTGCCCAACCTCAGAATGAATCAGATCCAGTGCATAATGCTTAATTAAGGCTGATCATGTTATTTCGCCTCTCAAAACAGAAAATCATTCTAAACACTTTCCCACTTCCTTCAGGTGGATTTGCAAATACGTGAGAATGGTTAGAAGTGAATATTTGTAGACAAGTTGAACTTTGGGGTTCTCTGGGCTTCATTGTTATTTTGCAGACATTTCATCTCCAAACTAGTCCTCGATTTATGACAGTTCATTTAGTGGCCATTCAAAGTTACAGCAGCATTGATAAAAGTGACTTATGACCATTTTTTCACACTTATGATTGTTGTAGCATCCAGCATGGTCATGTGATCAAAATTCAGACACTTGGCAACTGACTCGTATTTATGATGGTCACAGTGTCCCATGGTCCCATGATCACTTTTTTTCCCAGTCAATGAGGAAGCCAGAGTCACTTGAATGTGTCACTAACTTAACAACTGAAGTGATTCACTTAACAACTGTGGCAAGAAAGTAAAATGGGATAACATTCACTTAACAAATGTCTCACTTAACAAATGTCTCACTTAGCAACAGAAATTTTGGGTTCAATTGTAAGTCGAGGACTACCTGTAAAAACATCAGTGTTGGAAAGGATTTGGGTTTGCTCTCATTTTATATTCTAGTGCAGGGCATCATGCACAGGCCACACCCACACTTTAAAGGGAAAAACATCACAATATGTCATGTGATGGCAACATGATCCTGCAAGTTTGACACCTGTGTTCTAGTGGCTTGGCCTGAGAGTGTGGGAGTGGTCTTAGAGAGCCCTTGATTAGACTGCTGTTTATTGTTAGCTTGTTTGCCTGAGCTGGTACATGAGAATTTGCTGCTTTCCATGTCAAATACCAACAATCAGCTGCTTAAGGCAGCCTCCTCACCTCTAATTTATTCATTCATTTAGTTATCCATCCAATTTATGTATCTATATATCTCAAGGAGTGACCCATGATCCACAGAATTAAAATACAGCAAAAACAATAACGAACATGAAAAGAATTAAAAATACCAGCAGCCAATAAACAGGAACCCTAATTAGGGTTAGATTAGAACTTTCCAGAAAAATAGTTTCTTAGCAAGTTTTATTTAAAAATGACTATATGCAGATAGACTATTTAGTTGAATAAAATAAAAAACCATTTTGTGGAAAAGTGGCCCAAGAGCAATCCAGAATAAATGCATGATTTGGAAATGTACACTGAGTTTCAATAACACAAATTATAACCATCTGTGCTCATCACTTTTTTGTTCCATAGCCAGGTTTTCTCTTTGCGCCCATTTGTATTTTTCTCTGCCATCCTGTTCTACATTTAGCACTGAAGCTTTAATATTCACTTTGTACTATGGCCAGTTTCTGCTGCCATTGCTCTGGTGTTCTTAACAATAGGGTGATATACAGAAATCTAGCATGCAATCTCTAATCCCTAGATTATATTCCTTACAGGGACTGGCAATTCATTAATGGGTCTGATTTGCCAGGGGCAAATTATAATTGGTGCTCGATTTATTCTTATCGGTGCGAGCTGGTGACATTCAAGTAATTGAGGAGGGTATGAGGGCTCTCCAGAATGAAATTACATCTTGATAGCTTAATATGCCATATGCCAGCATTGAATCAGTTGTTTTTCTTTAGGAAAAAATGTGAATAAAATTATTAAAGGAAAGAAGAGCTATAGAACTTTACAATTGGAGAAAAAAATGTTGGTGTTTATTCTTTCAAAGAGCTAAATGGTGGGATATGTTAAATGTTATTATTAATAATAATTAAAGCTATTCGTACAATGTTAGGAGCTCAAAAGCTGTCCAGTAGGTAGAGGATGTGTTGCGATGTAGTGGCACTCAAAATCCATGCTAATTGGAAATTTTTTTATTTAACAAATGTATAATGTCAAACATCTCACTGAAAGCAACTCTGGACAGTACACAAAATGAATACCATTATATATATATATTCCTGTGTCCTGACAATAGCTAATACATATCTGATCATGAAGATGGATCAATAATATGCAGCATTATTCATTGGTATCTTCCAGGCTGCATGAAAGTTATAAAAATGTCAGTAGGAGCTTTGTGGCAGAAATTGTATAACTTTCCTTCTTAATTTTTCCACAAACTACTTGCATCTGCTTCTTTCACTTGGTATTATTTAAAATGAAATATCTTTTATGTGAACCGGTTAGAAAATAAAAACAATTAAATGGACAGTATTAGTTATAATACTAATACTGAGTCCCTCGGGACTCACCCTGAGTCCCTCGGGAATAGGGCGGCATACAAATTGAATAAACATAAACAGTTGTCACATGTTTATGAAACAATCATGCACAACTATGAAGGTATACTAAATGACACTAAATGCAATTATTCTTGTCCTTCTAATGAATATTTACCCCATTCTCCATTACAGTTTCAAAACAGTACAGAAAATTAGGAACTCAAAAAAGGTATATTTTGTGAAATCTTGCACGTTGACTTAAACACAAAATGTTGGTGAATAGTGAGTTGGATTGTTTGTAACATTGAGGAATAGAGATAGCCTAGGTTTACAAATAATGCAGTTGGTCCTCAATTTATGACCACAATTGAGCTCAGAATTGAAGTTGCTAAGTGAGAAATTTGTTAAATGGGGTGTGCCCCATTTTATCACTTTTCTTGCCACATTTGTTAAGTGGATCACTGGAGTTGTTAAATTAGTAACATGATTGTTAAGTGAATCTGGCTTCCCCGTTGACTTTGCTTGTGAGAAGGTCGCAAAAAGGGGTCATATGACTCCAGGATATTGCAACCATCATAAAATATGAACAGGTGATCTTGCATCCGAATGTAAATCACATGACTATGGGGATGCTGTAAGGGTCATGTGTGAAAAATAGTCATAAGTCACTTTTTTCAGTGCCATTGCAATTTTGAGCAGTACTAAATGGACTATTGTAAGTCGAGCACTACTTCGAGTCAGGTTCTCTGGATTTAGGAGATCAATACCAATGTATCAGTCTTGAAGATGTTTGCCTGCAGGCAAGGCTTCCTTAGCCCAATGGTTCAGAAGTGGGACATGGCAAAACATGTGCTGCCTATAAAATGATTCTGATCATTTTGGGAAATTTAGAAAAAAGGTAAGTTTGTAAAAAATGCCATATGTGCGTTATATCTATTTAACATTATTGTTATAAATAATCTTTATTTCTGGACACTCTTATCAGTTGCATTCAGATGAATATGGAAATGTTTCTGTGGAAATGTTTTCTCAAGGGATATTTCCTTCTTCACAGACAAAATTTTCCACAGCATCGAAGTCTGTCAGAATTTTTACTAAATTAATTCTCAAGGCTTGAGGCTGGCATTTGAAACAATCATGTTTAGGTAGCAAAACAATCTTTTCTTTTTCAGTCTTCTTGCAAATATTTAAGTTATGCTTAGGTCTTGATACAGCGTCACATTTCATTTCTTTCACAAATGGGTCAAAGTGTATGAGAATATATTTTAACAATTGTAAGTATAAACATGATATTTAAATTAAATTATTATCTTTGCAACCCACTGGATATCTGGAACAATCAATCATTTAAAAATAAAAATAAAAACCATACTTTTGTAGATTCTTGTTGGCTATTAGTAGAATATGAAAAACAGATACATAAATATAGGAATGGTATAAATATTTTGAAAAGAACTATAACAAACTTATGTATCCCTACAAGGCCCAAATTGCTAATTTGCTTTAATGCAATGTGAAATAACTCCATGAAACAAAAGGAATTTCCTTCCTGCAGTAGAGAATGTGTATAGGTTGTCCTTGCACATGTCAGAACTCCTAAGAGATGAAATGGAAACTCTATAAATCTTAAAGGTAGTTGCAACTGCCTTGGATAGAGTTAGACTCTTTCAGATGGTGTTCTGCCTTAGCCAGCTCATAAATGTAATAAAAAAAGCAACATTTTTTTTCTGAGATAATTTTCCAGTGCATGTACTTTACATGTTGCAACCTGTTAGCCATCAGCACTCCTTCACAACCGAATGCATTGTGAAATATCTCCCAGGAGACCACGGCCACCAATGAAGTAGTTAACTATGAGTTGCTTCTTTACATCGTCTTTGAAAGATCTCGGAGATCACCGCAGGCTGAGTTTCCTGAAGCTAACAAAAAACAAAAAAGCAAGCAGTGGAAAGGTGCGCACATTTCAAATAAGAACTGTATTCAGCTTTTATCTGAGGATTATTCAGTGCCAATTTTTGCAAACGCCTTTTCCAATCACATCACACAACTGCTATCATGTTAAAATGCCGCTTTCCCTTCCTGAAGGCTGGAAGGATTTTCTCTGAGTATTAATTAATAGAGTTTTGTGATTTGCACTTTATTTTTTGTTGTGTGTTGGTAGAATACCTATACTAATGCGGACAAGCTACTGGAAGCAGCAGAGCAACTGGCTCAAACTGGGGAGTGTGATCCCGAAGAGATCTACAAAGCAGCACGGCATCTAGAAGTGCGGATTCAGGACTTCGTTCGGAGAGTGGAACAGAGGAAGCTTCTTCTGGATATGTCTGTCTCCTTCCACACCCATACCAAAGAGGTAAGGTGCCTGCAATGTAATAGAAATTCAGATACTGTTGGACCTATGTTTCAAGTATGGAACATAGTAAAATATGTTCATATTGCTCAAGGCATACTAGAATAAACTTATATGAAATTAAAGCTTGGAAGACCTGCCAAATTCTATAAATGTTACAAGTCTCCCTATTAGAGTTGCAACATAACTGTAAAAGAAAGTGGAATCAGTAGAAATGTTATCTGTTTGCCTATCTATCTGAAACTCCATAGCAGAATAGCAATGTGCATGTTAACACTGATTATTAATATTTAGTGTTCGTGTGAAGTTGATATGCAATGGGGTAGACCCTTCATCTCTATTTTGTAACTGGAATATCAACACATAGATTTCTTCTCAGAATGTTTTTTTTCCCAACTAGAAAGAGATAAATGCGATGTATTCAGTTTCCTCCTCTCTTTACATTCATCATTTCGTGTCCTTCACTGATCTGGATAATCTACCAATTCTCTGAAGAAGCATAAAGGTCAACAAGAGGAATTGATAAAAGTTTTATTTTTTGAATGTAATGGTCCAGGCTACATGAAAGAACATCCATATGGAGGAAAAAGTTCTGCTTTATGGTTTGAGCTCTTTAAAAGAAAAGCAATCACAATGCCATTATTGTTTCTTAAATTTCTTAGGTAATTGAATTTTAATGAAGCATTAAAATTCTCTGCTTGACTACTGTTTCTAACAAGAATCAGTTAATGGAGATAGCTTTGATTTCATTCTATTCAAAGTAGGTTCTGCATATCTGTCCTCTTTTGATTTTCTGTGGTTTCTTCAGGACTGGGCTAAATGTTGTTTTAATATAAGTGAACAATGTTCAAAATGTATGAAATTAGGATACTTTTTCAGCAGACGTAGAGGTCAGGACATTGAAACTAAGGGCCTGAGGGTATAACTAAAGCATACTGTACATTTTCCATCTTCAAACTTCATACCATGCCTTCAAATAGCTTTGAAAACAGGATTGTGTACTATAAACAAATAATGTGTAAAAATTATAAAGAATTGTATTGCAGTCATTAACATGTATATGGGAAATGAATATGTCCAAAGCTGAATTGACAATGTCAGAATAGTGAGGTGAAATACATTCAAAGAATTTTGACTAAAAACAAAAACAGAATGCTACTTGTTCCAATATTCATGTGCAATAAAACAGAAACAATTAAGTTTAATGATCAGAGTAGTATAAACTTTAAAATGGTAGCATAACATTCAGGTCAATAGAAATAAGTAAAACAATAAAATCAGCCAGAAGAAAATTGGGACTATAACCTTCATTTATTGTCCCCTGTAAAACCCAAAAAGAGTGTAATATAGCAATTGACATGTCAAATCTACCAAGACATAAACATCTTTAGACATCTGGCATTATTATTTTTATAAACAACTCAGACATATCCAGTACTTTTTCTTCCTCCTATTTTCCTCATGACAACAACCCTATGAGGTGAGTTGATCTGAGAGAAAGTGATTGGCCCAAGGTCATCTAGCTGGCATTTATTCCCAAAGTAGGACTAGAACACTCCTTGTTTCTAGCTAGGTACCTAACTAACTAGCCACCGCTAGTTGTTAAACTTTTCAACCATAGTTCATAGAATTTCACCGTTGGTTGGCTTTATACATTGTGCTTAATCCAAAACTGAGTGAACCATATTATGGCAGATCATGATTTGTCAAACACGCAAACACAGATAGATTAATTTCCAGTTTCAGGTGCATGCTCCTATAACCAAGACCCATTATTATATTATTGTTACAAACTGAGAGCCAGTTTGGTCTAGTGTTAAGGCACTAAGCTAGAAAGTAAGAGACCATTGGTCCAAGCCCCACCTTATCCCTGAAAGCCAGATGGGTGACCTTGGACTAGTCATCATCGCTCTCAGCTGAACCCATATCATAGGATTGTTGTTGTGAGGAAAATAGGAAGAGGAAGGTGTGTTGGATATGTTTGTCCCCTTGAATTATTATTAAAAATAATTTGAGTAGGAGATAGACAGGCAAGTGGACCGAAACGGGAACTTGAACTGTCTTTATATTGATTTGTGTCCTGGGGCACTATTTTCCTTCTACTAGCTAATCAGAATAAACAGTTCAACATTGAGATAATAGAGAAGCTGATTAGTTCAGATTAATTTTTATTTTGTCAGAAAAGAGGGAGGAAAACATCAAAAGTTTTTGAAGACTGACCCTGAGTGATTTTTTTGGGGGTTGATGTTCTTCCTAACTTTGGGGGCGGCAGAAGACACATAAAGAGTCCTGCGGCATGTTTGACTATTGATAAGATGGAACAGAGAGAAAACATGTACATACTGGACGGGCTGCATTCCTTGACAAAAGATCTGAGGAATATTCTTAGGCAGAGGAAACGGTGGGAACTTTGTGACTCTTCCAGAGAGCTTAATAAAACTTGTTTTTGGAGCAGGACTCTGCATCTCTTACAGCCTCAAATTCAGCTATCAATTATCACTGTTCAGAATTGAAATATATATATTTTCTCTTAGTAGCATAGAATTTACGTAGCAGCTCCTGCTTTTAATTTTCTCTAGATTCATAATGACAGCCTATTAAAGGGGAATTTTTGTCAAGCATTCTTAAAGACACAACTTCATAGTATCTGACTTTCTCATGACATTATTTAAGATGAGGTTCATAAAATGTAAATTTATCACATTCATTTACTTGGATCTTTGTTCATTGATGGCAAGTGTATCTACCTTAAGCACATGTGGCTCTTAAGTACTATTTTTTCCTTAAAAGTCAGTAAATATAGCAATGAATGCATAAACAGAGAGGAAAAGAAATGATAGTCAGGAACTGTCTTCTTAAAACAGTAAGTCATAGAAAGATTTTATATGGATGAGGAATTATAAGGTGACAATTTTTATTATTGCTCCTTAAAGAAGTGAGCCGTTTCCTGGCTACTCTTTTAAGTTTTTTTAAAAATAGGCAAATTATTGCTAACCTGATATCCTGACTGCTTAGAATTAATGGATCAATCTGAAACATATTGATATTCAACATCACTGTTGAAAATGTCAGGCCAAATGCACATCAACATTTAACTTTCTCAAGGGCACTGGAGTTCAGTACCAAAGCATAACTGAAGTCATATTCATCTATTCAGATAGTTCAGTAGCAGAGTAATCCTCCATAATGCAAAATGATATTGGTGTTGTTACCATAACATATCTGACATGTATTGCAGTCACTTAAACAGTGATTCCCAAACGGTCTTAATTGGTAATGCTGCCAGTAGTTGATTTGGGGCAACTAATGTATAAATAACATTATATGCAACTGCATTTTTTTAAAGCCATGGAAAGTTGTTTCATAAATTCAGACTTAGAGGAAAATTCAGACTTAAATACGTATTTAATATAAAGTTTAATATTTTCCTTGATGTTTATTATATAAAGACAGTAAACAATCATTTCATTAAGGACTATGGCATTTGAGCCTGCAAACAGACACCCTGCCGTTCACAATTATCTGCCATTTTAATTTTGTCGCATTATTTTGTATATAACTAAATTTGTCCCTTAGCCTGCTTCGCTACAACACATTTTCCCCAATTAAGCAAATTGGCACAAGACCTTCCATTCACATTTGTATCAATAGTAACAGATATTGATGCAGTCTAGAAAATCAATTTGATGTACTTGGTCTAAAAGAGTTATCTAGTTTACCCAAATGCTTCTACAGCTTCATAGATACCTCTGTGAACAAATTGGATTTAGCTTGGGGAAATGGATCATAGACTCTCGGTTTCTGCAGTCAGGTGTCATGTATCATCATGTCTCTTTAAAGCTGGGATATGAAAACTGCAATTTGCAGGTCTGATCTGACCTGCCAGGCTGAACTGTCTAGATTGGAAAGCTAAACATAGACTCATAGCATCAGAAGACATACTTTACACCAAGGCCAAGCACCTGCTCAATTCAGAAATCTAAAGTAAAATATCTCAGACACCTGGCTGTCTTCCCTCTATTTGAACTCTTCTAACAAAGCGAACTGGGCCTTTCTCGACATGACCCTCTCCACTCTACCCTCTTCAGCATTTCAACAGCTTTATTCTATAACTTTTCTATTTAGGGAAATAAAAGACCTTCTAAAAATGGCAAGAAATAGTGCTTGCAGGCTGTTTCATCTCCTCCAAACCATTTTCATTTCTCAGAAAGATTAGCTAGAAAGTAGAGTGAAGGACTTCTCCTTCTTCTAAAGCCTTGCCTCTGGTGTTGATCTTAAAAGAATGTGAAATCTAGAAAATTATATAAGCATATACATACATACATACATACATACATACATACATACATACATACATACATACATACATACATAC